TTGAATTCTTAGGATTAGGTTCAAGTCCTATGGTTCTAAAAATAAGAGGATTTAAACCTCTATTATTTACTCAATCAAAGTAACTCTCTTACCAGACATATTTCTTAGATTAGGGGTGGTATACATGCGGTGATAATGGGAAGGGAGGTATGTCATATGCATAGTACCAGAGTGAGGCGTAGGAAGCTTCTTCATAAAAGATGCATAAGTTGATCATAACGAAATCGTGGATAGAATGCTAATTCATAGAAGTTAAAATGAGGGTTTTTAGGGTGAAACTGAGTGTAAAAGTTTTGGGAAGGGAAGGTTGAGTAATGTCCCTATAAAGAAGGTTGCTGTTAGGGCATTTATTATAATAATATTTGTGTATTCAGCTATAAAAAATAAGATTAAAGGGCATATTCAACGTTGAAGCCTGATACAAGTTCTGATTCTCTTTCTGTTAAGTCAAACGGAGTTCGGTTGGTCTCTGCTAGTGTTGAGATGAATCACATTATTGCTATGGGTCATGTTGGTAGTAGTAGTCATGTGAACTTTTGAGTAGTAATAAGGGTAGATAGAGTAAAGGAGCTATTTATTAGTAATACAGAGAGGAGAATAATGTCTAGGGTTACTTCATACGAGATTGTTTGTGCTATGACTCATAATGCTCCAATTAGAGCATATTTAGAGTTGAAGGCTCAGCCTGACCACAGGATTGCATATACAGCTAGGCTTGGGGTAGTGAGAATGAATAATACGCCTATATTTATGTTGGTCAGGGGTTGGGGTATGGGTAGGGGGATTCACATGGTAAATGCCAGGGTTAGGGCTAGGGTAGGAGCAACAATAAATAGTATAATTGATGATGTCAAAGGTTAACTATCAGTGTTAACTATCAGTGAATTACTCAGTCTCATATAAACTTATGTAGGGAGAACTATCTTCTTGTTACTAATTTTAACATAATTTCTTCTATAAGAAAAATAGATTAGTCCAGTATTGGTTTAGGAGGTTATTGAGAGTTAGGTATTAAGTTTTGATGATTAGGTTAAGCTTTAATGCTTTTTCAATTGAAGACTGCTTTTAGGCCAACTATGGAAATTAGCAGATTTACTCCCTAATTAAGGTTTTTCCTTGATTCTAAAGAGCTGTCGCTCTTTAGATTAACATTTAAAATTACATTTGGCTTGCTTGTGCTTCAGGTAAATTTAAAGTAGATCTAAAATTCTAATCTGGACAACCAACTAT